GATTAAATACACATGAAATACCAAATTTTGTAAAAAAAAAATATCCTAACTGGCTGTCAAATGCTCTCATTCTTTGGTATCAAATTAACTTATCACTGATAAACTTCTCATATTTCCTGGCATTAGAAAAAAAAAATGTCAGAGCCCAGATATTGTTATCAGAATATGAGATATTGCACTGTAAAGGTCCCAATGGCATACTTGTACTCCCACATGGCAGTCAGAACATCAATATTCTAAAGAAAAAATGCATCCAGCTGTGAAAAATTCAAGACTCTAAAAACAAACAAAAAGAACTAATATTCAGACTCTGTACTTTGTAATAACAAGTCTCTAGCCCATTACGATATACTTTATATTAATGATACTTTATTAAACACACCTTGGCAGCAGTTTGTTATATTCATATGATTTATTTCCAGCTTTTAGATCTTGATGACATGGAAAAGATACATGGAAGAATAAGCACCACCATGTGCTTGCTTATCTCTTGCTGATTAATAAAGCTAGATTTGGTCTGGTGCTAAGATTAAGAGAAGCAATTAATGTCTCCTTGGCTGAAAAAGGTGTTTATGCATGCTTAAAAGAAGTAGTAATGACAGATGTATTCAAAAAGTTCTTCTAGTAAGGCCTCTGTAACCATAAGCCAGATCCAACTCTTTCATTATAGGGAATGGGGAATATGAAAAAATGACCTCATAGTCTCTCTTATCTATAAAGAAATACATAAAGCACCATCATTTCAAGTTCTGTTTCAGCAAAAATCCATTAAGGTTTACCAGAAATAACAACATATATTTTTTAACCTTGATGAAATGAACCAGCTTTGTATTCCTTCCTTTACTTATAACAATTTTAATCTATAGTCCATTCAAATAAAGTCTTAGGACTTGGTTATCTTTCCATTTTTTTTCTTGTCCCTTTTAATTAGATTCTTCAACATTTTAACAAGCCTTTTTTGTAAATACATTATAAGAATATTATCCAAGTCACTCTCGTCTTATTATTTATATGTATCTCTTTCTATTGTTAATACAATATCCAGTTTCTTTTGAATGTCCAGTGTAGTATATTTTCCGATGTCATTCTTGTAGCCTATCATTTGTAAATTCACTTTCAATTCAATCTTGAACTTGCCAGGTAAAATTTGTTCCTTTTCTTTTCAACAACATTAGCCATACCACAACTGAATCACACTATACGCATCATATCAGGCACAAGAACTACTCCCATATCACTCATGCTGTAAACAACAGCTTTGCCTCAGACATCCACCTATTAGGACAGCCAGAAACTTGTATATATAAAAAAAATCAATCTGCTTCAGGCCTGGATGCAAGAATGGTTCTTTATTGCTCCTCTAGAATGTCACAACATCCCCTGCTTTACAGTTAAACCAAAAGGATTTAATCTATTTTGTAAGACCTGGTCAATCTTCAATAGAATTATGACTCAATATGACAGATGTGCTAATTTCCTCCATAAATGGGGAAAGCTCTCCTCTTCGGAATGTAGCTGTGATGCTCCAAAGCAGACAATGCGACTTTTCGTGAAAGCCTCAAAGGTGTTTTTTCAAGAGGAAACTTGACTTTCTAATTTTTCTCTAAAGACGTTTTTCTTCTCATCCAAGAAGCCTCTTCATTTCAGAGCTGAAGAAGCTTCTTGGATGAGAAGCAAAACATCTTCAAAGAAAAACAAGAAAGTCCAGCTGCCTCTTGAAAAAGCACCTTTGAGATAACCATGACCTAGATTACTGAAAATCTCCATAGATATACCCTTTGAATGCATAGCAGGGGTTCTCAACCTTGGCAACTTTAAGACTTATGGACTTCAACTCTGGGAGTTGAAGTCCATAAGTCTTAAAGTTGCCAAGGTTGAGAACCCTGGAAGGGAAAGCCGAGAGACTTTCTGTATGCAATTCCATCATATATTGACTATATAGTCTACCTTTGAATTTGTAAATAGTTTTATATTTGCTTGAGAATGTAATTGTGATGTGCTTTTTAATATTTTTGCCATATGCTAAACACATAACATCTTTAGATATGGTCTCTCCATATAGACAGATGTCTCTCTTTTTTATTATAACATTTTATTGCATTATAAATTTTTATTATAAAATAAAATACAAAACAAAAAAAAACAAAAAAACAGATAGTAGGACCCAGTGGGGAAGGAAAAGGGAAAAAGAAATGAGGGGGAGGAAGGAAGGAAGGAAGAAGAACATTGATCCAACTTTGTTGCAGTAGAATAAAGCATTAATATAAAACCTCCACTTTTTACTTTTCCAAAGTAGTATAAACTAGCCATTTCTACAACAATATAATCAATAAGTCCCAAAATCAAAGTTTCATTTTTTTTCACCTCAAGCACAAAATCTAGAAGTGGTCTCCATGTGGAAACAAAAGTATTTATGTTCTTTTCTTTAATCAAAACAGTCAATTTAGCCAACTCTATCAACTTCTGTAGCCATTCATCCATAGCAGGAATCGAAATGTCCTTCCATTTTTGTGTATACAATAGTCTTACTTCCATTGACATATATAAAATCAGGCAGATGTCTTTCGATATTATTATTTTTTTTACTAAGGGTTGAAGGAAATTCACCCAATGCTGTCAAACCCAGCCTCCAAAGGTATCTAACAGCTGAAAAGCAGTTAACAAGTAGTTCTGAAAGGAAGTATGCAAACTTAGTGTCCTTTTAAGACACTATCATGGTTTGAACAAGATGGCTATTCCCCCATTTCCCAAACTCTAAACTTGTTGGAGACTGCTATCTTGCAGTCTCCTTGCAGGAGTAGCTGTCAGGAACACTTTTGAGTGATCTCAAGTCTTTCCCTTGTCCGGAGAGGTTTTGAACAGCCAGTCTGCTCACCTGGACTTCATTCTGCTGCAGGTGTCGGCACTATTTTTTGCCATTTCTTTCTCCAGAGGTCTAAATTCTAGATCCTTTCATGGTGTCCAAGATTCTACTGTGTCACCTATACGATTTAAGCGCACTTTCCCAGTTATGTCTAGTGCCCCATTTGCAACATTTCTTGAACTGCTCAAACTTAGCACAATTAGCCCCAACATTTTTACAACCCATGCAGACTTTTTCAATGCACTTTTTGCATGCCTTCCTTGACCAGAAAAAAAGTCCATACTTTGCAATTTGTGCAAAATATTGTGGTAGACTGTTAACTAGCACAAGATCTAGTGCAAAAATTACAAGTGTCCCGATATTACTATGTTGCCTGTCAAATTCCTACTAATGCTGATAAAAAAACTTTAAAAGCCCTATCTGATGTAGCTTACTATCTGATGTACCTTGTCAGTATATTAGACCCAAGGGTGAGATTACAGGGCTGGAAAATGTAGGGTGTATAAATAAAATGAAGTAAATGATGTATGGGTATAATATAGGTTCATGGAACTTAGATTTTTATTGATCAGATAAAAAAGATTTATGCTGAAGGGGAATGAGTTTCCACATATAGGAAATCAATAGGAATCCATCTATAAAAAATATAACATTTCTGATCATGCTTCAGCGGAGATAGATCTATTGATAGATATCCTACAATATATAAATTCCTAATTCAATTAAAATATTCAAAAAAACATGCTAATACTTCATACAAGCATTAATTATAAGATTTCTGTGTTGCAAAATGCATGAAATTGCTTCTGAAACTACCACGTTTATAACATGTGTTAAACAGAGGTAGCCATTAGTTTTACTGTTGAATGTGTGCTTAAAAAATATGGGGGAAAAAACCTTAAAATAATTTAGTATAATTTAATTTCATTAACATACAAAGTTCATGATTTTGTGTGAATTCTAAATACTAATGACTGGGAATATGGAAGATGGGCAATAGCTGTTTCACAATTATTAACCCTGAACAGATGGCTTTCTGCTAATCTTTGTAACAAAGAGAAAGCACTGACCAACGCCAAGGAAACATTGTTATTCTTTTTATGCTTACAGAAAGGCAAATTTTGGAATTTAATTTCAATCATACAATTTCAAACATATTTTTAATGTCAGAGGTTTTACTCTAAAAACTTAATAGAAATTATTATGTGAAAGTACTATTACATCTCCTTGCTTGCAAGTAAAAGGATGCTTTCTTGCCATTCTATGTAGGAGATCATAACATTTTTTCTTCTGAATATCTGGAGCAATAAACAGCAGTGGTTCTAGAAAGTTTTGTGTGGGGAGGAAGATGGGACATAGTGAATTTTAGCTTGAACAGGACTGCATCTTAAGCTTATGTTCTCTAAAATAAATCTTTCTGATTGGGATCAAATTAGATAGCAGAGTTCTTTATTCTGAAAAAAAAAAACCCAAAACAAAACCCACATACATTTACCAGACTTGCTAGCACTCCTTAATTTGTTCTTCCAACAAATGCTTGTTTCAGCAGATCTCTCTGAGGAAACTACCTGGACGTCTGTGAATTTGATTTGAGGGTTGTCATTTGGTTTTGCCGCATTTATGAAATACTGATCTAAAGGCTTCATAAATTAGATAGACATCCTGAGAATGGGTACATTTGTTTAGAGGGCAAATTCGGTTGACTGTTGGAGCTTTCCTACTTTCTTTAGGATTGTCCAACAGGGTTGAGAGTTGGCCACTCCTTCCAGTTGCAAGGGGCAAAGGCTTTAAACGGTGATACTAGAGATCTCCGTTCGATTCACCCACTTGAGCCCTTTAGCAAGGCCTGAGTCTGCCCCACCACAACATCTGGCTGTTAAACTGCCCCCCCGCCCCTCCCACCCCAAGCGTGGTTGCCGTTTTCTCCGCCCGGGAACCCCTCCGTCTCCTTGCCTACAGCGCCAGCCGCAACTCAGCCAGGCCATCGAGAAGGCTCCGAAGACTAGCCCCGGAGACCCTCTTCTGCAGCAGGCAGGAAGGGGGCGGCTGCCGCTGTAGCCGGGCAGCCGTCAGACCCGGAAGTGGTTGAGGCTACCGGGGGGCGGCGGGAGCCAGCGGTGGGTGGGGGTAAGGAAAGGAAGGGGAGGGGGCGGCGGCCGGATCCACGAGCGGCGGCCGGAGACGCGCAATCGTTCGGCTCGGGATGCATTCGGACAACCGGTTGCTGTGCAGGAGACGCGGGAAATGGTGAGCGGCTGCGAGCGCCTCCTCCTCCTCCTCCTCCCCCCGGGGACCCGGCCGGCGGTTCTCTCCCTGCTGTTGCTCCTGATGCTCAGACGGGACGCGGTTGCTCAGAAAGGTAGGTGGAGACCCGGTAGCAAGGCAGGAAAAGCCTTCCCGCCATTATGCCTTGACGCTCGCCCGGAGCGCACCCAGGAGGAGCATCGCCCTCTCCCTTCGCCTCGGATGTCATTTAATACGTGGGGAAGGGGGAAAGGGAGGGGAAAAGGTGGGGCAGCGTAATCCAGAGATGCTCCTCCCATAAATCCAGTTCTTTGCATCTGTAGCGAGCTTCTTCCATCCCCTCCTGAAGTTCTGCAAACTTTGAACGCCCTTCCCAGGCTCATAGTGAAGAAATGCAGAATGACTGTTTTCAGCTGAACTCCAGTTTTTGAGTTCGTACAACTTATTTTTAATCGACGATACAATCTATAGTAAAATGTAATGAGGGTTTTGTAATCCGGGGTACCGTTTCTCTCTCTGCCCTGAAAACCCAGAGAGTTTTCGCAACTTTTCGCCCCGAAAAAAAAAGTCTTATCTCAGGCAGCGCTCGTTGCATCTTCGCTGATTAAGCTGAACGTCGGCCTGAAAGAAGTGCTTGCTTTTTCTTTTTTCTTTTTAAAAGAAGTGAAAGAATTAAGTGTATCCCGAATAGGCCAAAACAAAAAACAAAAAAAACCACACCTATAGTGGGAAAAAATACACTGTCATCTCCAGAACATCCCTTATTAATTTATTGCAGCAAAAATAAACAAGACCTAGTGCTCTGAAGACTAGTAGTGTAGCCCAGTTCAAAAGTTTCCCTAGTTCTGGAAAAGTAAGCAGAACGGGGAACATTCAAGAAGCACTGAAGGCATGATCCCAGCCAATAAGTTAGTCTGTTTTGCAAACTGCAATCCAATTGATGTTTAGGAATAATGAGAACATTTAGTCTACCTGATAAAGAAAAGGTGTGTGTAATTGGAAGTGGATAATTTTGAATTGTGTTGTTTAATACGCTTAGTTTTGAATTGTATTGCTGGACTTTGTAAACTACTTGGGATCATTCTGTCTCTGACCATAGAGGTTTTACTAACAAGAAAATAAACATAAAATTTAGTTGAAATGAATTATTTTTTTAGAAATGGTGAAGATTTCAAATTATACAATCTTTTGGAAATAGTATGCGTATGAGGAGCCTACTTCTACAGCAGCATTGCTCAAGTGAATGAACCTTCCTTTCCACCCATAATTTTTGTAATACGTTAGCACTACCTAACATACAAATACATCTATCAGGCCAAATAAGGGCAGAAGCAGAGATACTGCTTGCAAAGATAAAATATTGTTTGCACTTAAAAAAAAACCCTTGGCTTTAAACAGTATAGATTTAAACAATGTAAAGTAAAAGACTTGAAAGGAAAGGATTACAGTATGTGAAATGATGGGATGGAATTAAAGAATCAAGAATTAGAAAAACGAAGAGGAGGCTCATTCAGAATAGGAGTGTGGATTTTAAAGGGGAAAAAAAAGATGTTCTCACATTGCCTCAAACAGAATGAGTGCCAGAAAATACATACATTTATCCTTCTCTTCACCTCACCACAGCATCCCTAGATTTAACATTCATTTCACAAACTAAAATTAGGGCAATTAACTGTTAAGTTACTTTGATTTGAGGAATGTGGTTTGGTCTTGAATGTAAGATACCTTTTTCTTCTTTGTGAAGTTGTTTTCTTAGGTAAGTGCCAAAAGTTTTTAAGCATCTTTTTTTCCACTTTGACATATGGCACTGCTGGCATGCTAAATTTCCAAACTTGTCAGAAGGAAGAGACTACAAATGGTTTGGAGTCAGGATCAGAGACATTTAGAAACTGCAGTTCTATCTCAACTCATTTAAAACATTCACATTCTGCGCCATTTGGGCCTGGATCCAGAGTACAGCCATTGCATATATACAAAAGTGTTTATAATGCAGAATTTGTTTTTTACAAAAAAAAATTTGTTCATCTTGTTTAGTTTTTAATGATAAAATATGTGATGGATTCTAATGTCAACAATTCTGTTTTATTATATCTGCTGCAGTGTTATAACTACTTACAATGTAAAATCTACTGTAAAATGACAACAGTCAATATGCATAGTCTATTTTGCCTTGCATTATTGTAGGGATAAATAACTGCATAAATTCAGATTTTCCACAATGACCTAAACGTTAGCCCTGTGTAGATACAACTATCTCCCTTGATTTCCTACGTTTCCTCAAATGTAGTCAAACTAAGAGAATTATCAAAGGACGATATTAAATAAATACCTGAGGGAGACCTCATGCTAAAATCTAGCCAATAATGGTTTAATTATCCAGTGGAAAGTAGCTAATTTCATTGACTACAGATCCCTCCATTTCAACAACGTTTTTCTTCAGAATCAGCTACAATATAATAGTTTGCTTTCATCCCTTTTATATGGGAACTTGCTCTTGTTGTGATAGTTAAATGGAATCCATTTTCTCTATTCTACTATATTACTGTATAATGAAGAAGACTCATTTGTTTTGTTCTTATATGTCCCAGGTGTCTCTGAGGAGTTTTCTAATTTTTTCCCATCAAATAAAAAAGCCTTATTACAGATAATCTAGCCAAGTTTTATATAGAATGTGCACGAACAACTGATTATGATCTAAATGATTAGCATTTCTATATTTGGTCCATAAATCTTTGGTGAATTTGTAGGATACTAATGTTTTATATTATTAGAAGCTGCTATGTATATATAAACAGGGAGCAAGCTCCACATTTATTCTCACTGATTATGTTCCTAGTTGGGTAATGAAACATCTGCAAACAAACTAAACTCAGAGAACACCATGGATTCAACAGTTCAGTCTGGATCTACATATGTTGTCTTTTATTGGATTGATAGATTTTATCATGTATTTTATTTCTATACTGCTAACATATTGCACAATATCTTCCATAAGATTTTTTTTACAATTTAGGGTTTTTTTTTCTTATCTAATCTTAACATTAAGAGAATACAGATCTGTCTGTCTGTCTACCTATCCATCCATTCCCCCCCCCCTCTCTTTCTCTCTCTCTCTCTCTCTCTCTCTCTCCCTCTCTCTCCAGTGGTGGGATTCAAATATGTGAACAACCAATTCTCTTTGTGGATGCTGCTTCCAGAAGTCCATTCTGGGCCTTCCAGAAGTCCATTCTGGGCCTGGGCAACAAAAAATTAACTACCGGTTCTGCCAAACTGGTGTGAATTGGCTGAATCCCACCTCTCCCTCTCTCTCTCTCCCTCTCCCCCCCCTCTATCTATCTATTTCTATCTATCTATCATTCCAACACAAATGTTGTGCCCAGAAGACTCTGAGAAGACCATGTATAGTTAGACAGTTAGATACACTCTCCAGAACATGTTCTTGATTTAAAGAAGTGTTTTACTTGTGAATACAAAACTTATTAGGTAATTTGAGTCACTAGAACTGATAAAAATACCAATTACATGAATTAAATTACAAATCTTGCTGAGCATAGAGATATTTAACTGCCACTCTTGTTTATATGTTCCAAGATACTGCATACAAATATATTAGTTCCAAAATATATTAATATTATAATAAATTGGTGATTAATTTTGTAAGCAGGAGGAGGCTTTCTAAATTTCAAAAACAATATTATTTTTTTACTTTTGAGATAAAATATATTTTAATATGGAAGAACATACAGATTCTGAGCTACTTACTCTGTATTAAAAATATTAACTACCATTCTTTTATTGCATCTGTTTTTGTGTGTGTATGCATAGAGAGAGCATAATCTTCCCACAAGGTAGGTTGCAAAAGTTGGCAGATAACAGTGCAGTGAGTGTGCTAAGGCAATACAGCATCCAAACAATACCACTTTCTGACTTCTGATTCTGCTTTCTCTTAACAAGGTCCCTTTTTTTGGATCTTGATTAGTTTCATGGGTGAATAATTGTTCTGTTGAATATTGAATGTTTCCATCAGTTCTAAACCTTCAGTAGTATGTAATACAATATGCAGGATATGATATAAAGTAAGGGTGGAAATTTGTGGCAATCTCTAAACTGTTACTCCTGTTACCTCTCAGTGCTATTTGTACTAGCTGAAGATGATGGAAATTACTGAACAAAGCAGGAGAGGCCACAATTGATTTATGCTCTCAGACATTATGAAGATTTCAAATTGTTTGCTTGAAAATAAGGTAGAATTATACTGTATGTCCTTTTTATTCAAATACATTTGCAAATAATGTCTTAAAGACCATGGGAGTGAATGAGGGATATCTGTGCTGTTCCCTCATCTGTTTTGCATTAGCAGTAAATTTTTTTATGCAAAGAATTCTTTGCTATCTCAGATTTAGTAAAACAATACAGTCCTTTTTTTAGAAAATTAATTTTTAAAAAAAAATTAATAGGTTTTTGATGAAAGTAAAATCAATGTTATGTTTGACTGATATTTTATGCATTCTTCGGGAATGAGAGTTTAAAATTCCCCTGTCATGAAATTGACATATGGTTCTTCTCAGTAGCAGAGGCACAACCTGCTTATTCAAATCAGACCCAGTGCTCGGTATCTTTTTCATAATTACTTGCTCATATTCTTTACTGTGATGTACAGTGTGTTATAAGGAACTGAATTATAACAGGAGGCCAAGAAAAGCTATTCATGAATATGGAACCATAATCCAGGCTGTGATTTTCTATTCAACAAATACACAGTTCAGATAAAAGATTCTAAAATAGTAAAAGGAAATTTTAGATATTACAGTTGCCCCTTTCTCAATATTTTTCCCCAGACATACTACTAAGCTAAGCACATAACCATTCACTATCCATTATCATAACAAAGGTAGCTGAAACAAACAAAGCACTGTTTGTTCAAGGCCTGCTTAAAAGAGGTTGGTGTCTTTAACTTTTAGATTCTAAGGAATTTTGATTTTTTCTAAAGAGCTTTTTGTAAGCCTGCCTTCAAATGTGGGCTGTGATCATCAAAGTTACTATAATATTGATTTTACTTTAATTATTTGCATATATAAAATCTGGCAGAAGATCTTTTTCATTGTAGGGTGCAGATTTCACATTAATAAAGAAATCAAGATTAGATTTAGCATGTGTTAGCTAGATCCGAAAAGTTATAACTAAATCTATAATTATGAAAACTAACTATAACATTTATTTTGTAGTCTACCCTTGAAGAGCAGGCACACATTCTTCTAAGTGTGAGAAAGCAACCTTACAGATGAATTTTTGTTTTGCAGGTGATGGATGTGGATATACTGTCTTAGGTCCTGAAAGTGGAACATTTACATCAATTAATTATCCACATTCCTATCCCAACAGCACAGTGTGTGAATGGGAAATTCGAGTAAAGCCTGAACAGAGAGTTCAGCTCAAATTTGGGCATTTTGATATTGATGATTCAGATTCTTGTCATTTTAATTATGTGAGGATTTATAATGGAATTGGACCTACAAGAACAGAGATAGGTAAGGACATATTTTATCTCTAGTATTAACATGTAATGTTAATATATACTTGAGAGTAGAAAAATGTTTCTTATGATTTTTTTTTTCTTTTTTCTGTGCCCAATTTCTGTGAATAATTTGGTATAAGCAAAGCAAAATGTTACCTGATTTTGTGATAACACAAAGTTGAACAGGCTTTGAAAAGCCCTGGACAAAGGGCTTTGTTGTAATATTTCACTACACTGTCCTTTTTCCTAATTAGCCTTGTACAAATGAATGTTTAACATATTCATTTTTATTTTTAAAATTACATATTCCCTGAAGTTTATTTCTATGCTTATTTTTATTTTATTTTCATTTATACATTCTGCACTTTTAATAATTATATTGATTGTTTATTTCAATAAAATCATTTAAAAAGACATATATGTATTGAGTAGAGCACTGTTTTGATTCATTACTCGGTATAAAGTATCTGTCATAAAAATACATATAGCAAGTTTATACTTCAGTTTATATGAAAAGTGATTTTCTCTAAAGCAAAAAGCAAAACTTGAGTTCTTTAGATGGCAAAGATCTTTCAATCTTGATTTACAAGTATAGTTCACTGGACCAAATAATTCTCTACTTTTATTCTCTTTATGTACAGCTTATTTTAGTATGATTATGTAAAAGATAGTCTGCTAAAATGAAATTATAAAAAGAAATAATATAAGGGAGCATAGATTTTATCCATCTACATGTCCAGCAGTATGAAAAATGTCTAAAACTGAATAGAATGAGACTAAATTTGGTATTTGGAAAAAAACTCAAGCAAAAGAGTGATCAAGCTTGAAAATCAATCAGATCAGATGATAAATGAATTTCATAAGCCATATTTTACATGCTTTTCTTATCTTGCTTAGAAATATTAAGGTCACATTAAAATTGGCAGCAAATTCATTGGTAATCACTTGCTATATTGGCAAATGGTGTACATCTTTAGCATATATTATGATTTAAGTAAGGGGAGTTAAAAGTAAAGGAGAGATAACTGCTGAATCTTAAGGAGAGGTATACTGAAACTGCACTGAAAGTATGTTTCATTTCCTTTTATAGGAAGTTTCATTATGACAAGTTCTTTGGAATAAATTCATAGAATTCTTATTAAAATTAATGATGCAAATACAACACACACACATACACACACACGCACGCACACACACAGTATATATACACATATTTAGGAAAATCACTCTATTTCTCTTCCTAGCTTGGAAAGGGTTCCCAGATGAAAAGTCTTTGAAAAGACTAAACAATATATTTGATAAAATGATTAAATCATAAGTGGTTTGATACTAAATAACAACAGGCTTGGACATGTTGAAAAAACTATACCTCTCTAAGTCTTTGGTACCTCTGCATTTCTAAGAGATTCTCAAAAACCTGCCTTGAGAGAAAAAGGAAACATCTTGTTCATTTTGTATTTCGTTATTGTTAAACTTGTGCAGCTGCTATATTTAGTGTAGATTAAACACATAGGTCTACTAAATGGTGAGAAGTTTAATACTATATTTACATATGTGTTAAGTATCTCTATTGTATCTATTCTAGGGAAATACTGTGGTTTGGGCCTTCAGGTGGACAAATTAAATGAATCAAAGAGTAATGAAATTACAGTACAGTTCATGAGTGACATTCATTTTTATGGACATGGGTTTCTTGCTTCATATTCAACAATAGATAAACCAGGTATAGTAACTAATTTAGCCATATTTTAGCAGACTACATATCTATTTCTGTTTAATAATTATATAATCTTACCATAATAGGTAATTTCTTGTTACCCAGTTTCTGATAATGTATAGAAAAATTAAGCAAAGACATTTATAAAATCACATCTAGACAGGATGAACTAAAGATATTAAGCTTAAAATATACAAAAGATATAATTAGAATACATTAATCCAAGGTGATTAAAATAAATTGTTCTATTTTGTAGCAACATTGCACATTCCTGGCCAGATAGTATAGAGTTGATGGCTTGACATGAAGTGTTTTTGTTACAGCAGGAACACATTTTTTAAAGGTTAGCATTGAGGATAGCATTCTTTAGGGATCATCTGTGGAAACAGCATATTTTTCTACTCTTCAGTCAGTTTCTCTATTATCTTCCATTTCTCTAGCTGCAGATGATAGATCATTATTGCCTGAAGTCTAAACTAACCTGCAAATCATTTGAAATTCAGTTAACTCCCTTTGGACTACCCCAATAATACACAACTTTCAGCAGTTTCTCATTGATTTATTGGTTAGTAATTGCCTTTAGTTTTCATATATAGAGCTCTAAGTTTAACAACCAAATGACTGAAATTCACCTCAAGTCACGGGAGAACCACAGTTAATAGATGCTTCATGGCATCATAACATAAACTCTGACTTCATTATTCCTGCTGACATAAAACCTAATCCTGAAAGATTTTATGGATAAGAATAATTATTTGAATTTCTATTGCATTTAGTGTGCTGGTAATCATTACAGGCTCTTCTCAATTGCCATATCTATTATTAGCATTTACTTACTTTGACTGATGTTTGGGCAAGATATAACTCAGCTTATCCTATGTATTATGTCTGCTGGTCCTCTTTTTGGCTTTTTTGCTGATACATCTCGGTTTTGCTAGATTTGTTTTGGAATCAATCAACAGAGATTGATTCAAATCAGCTGATAGAAACAAACTGTTTAATCCTAATCTATCCCTTGTAGCACATTATAGCTAAGAATGAATGGCAGTAGTTCCCTGAAATCATAGTTTATTCAGTGGAAATAAAAATAAGCAGGATGCATTAAAATGATTAATGATTCACTAGTTTTTAATTCAGAGTTTTAAAACATATCACTCTTTAAAAATGTTTTGTTCTTTTATAATTTTTCTTTTGTTATCATTTTTCCTAGATTTAATAACATGTTTAGATACTGCAAGTCACTTTTCTGAGCCAGAATTCAGGTAAAAAATTTTTTAATGTTCTGATAAGAAATTAGGATCAGATCACTTGTGAACTAGCTACTTTTTCTCTTGTTTGAACAAAATATTTTCATTGGGAGAAAAAATAGTTATGCTCATGTGTAAATAGACTTTTGATTACAGTTGACTGAAAATAATTTTATTCAATGCAGTGGGACATTTCTGTATATATCTTATCGCTATATTTAACATGATTCCCCCCAAATAAGGGGGTGTCTTTTACTCATCTCTGGCACTGACAGCCTTGCCCAGCAGGCCCACTTCTTCTGCGGTCGAAGGAGCATCTTCATTCTGCAGCTGTATTCCGGCCTGCATTTCCAGAAAGCCTCTGCAGCCGAGTACTGAGCTATGGATTCAATCCATAGCTCAGTTTTTGGCTGCAGTGGCCTTCCGGAAAGGTCTGTGACTGAGAAATGCAGGCCTGGCTGCAGAAGATGTTGCAGAAGAAGTGGGTTGATGAAGAAAGGCCTGGCTGCAGGGTAAATGGGTACAGGGCACGTGGGGCAGCTCCACACCCACAACTCTGCCCAAGCTTGATTTTTAGGCATGCACCTCGCCCCAAAACTAGGGCTTAATTTTGGGGTAGGGCTTATATTAGGCCCACCCCAAAAAATCAAGCTGGAGCTTATTTTCGGGGTAGGCCTTACTTTTGGGAAAACACAGTATATAATATCTGTTTCTGAAGTAGTACTTAAGTATTTCAGTTTGTTATGGTTAAGGTCAAGATTTATTATTATGATTCATCATGATTTTAAAAAATCAAGAATTTACACTTAAATGCTAAAATTCTAAACAAAGTTTTTAACTGCAGTCCTTTCTACTGATCTGAAAGTAAATGAACTGTTGTGTTCAAAATAAATTTAAACAGGATTGCACTATTAATCAATTAACTGCTCTAAGTCCTTTTATAATAGAAACTTAGGTTTATACTGCCATTCTTAATGTAATATAACACAGCTCTTAAGTCATAACAATAAATATGCAATGGTTTTTCATGTTAGTTTATTGTTTGTAATAATCAGAATGAAATACTTTTACAATGCATAACTCTTCCCAGAAATAAGTATTTAACTTTTATTAATTACTTTATTTGTTTTATAATACGTATTATTTATTTGTCTTGTCATTAATATATCATTAAATGATAAGGCTTAATTCCAATGTTGTGTTCAAAATATTTTCAGACCAATTATTTGCCAAATCATGTCACTGTGGTTTATTATTGTAAATTGTTCATGAAAATATGCTTTCCCTCTTGAAAATGTATTTAAATCTTCAGACTTGATTTGTTTGAATGACTATACTTGCTTAATGAGGTTTATTAATTATTTAAAAAATTCAGTACAGAGGATATTGGTTTCATATTATGACAATACCTGTTTTTTTCCCTTAGCAAATATTGTCCAGCTGGTTGTGTGCTTCCCTTTGCTGAAATTTATGGGACTATTCCTCATGGCTATAGAGATGTAAGTAACATTCATTATGATTTTTAGATTATTTAGTTAATTTATATAATCATCCATTTCACCATATTGGCTCTAGGTGGTTAACAACATTTAAAATCAAAATACAAATCACATAAAACTTCAGTAGATATTATAGCAGTCAGAATGAACCAGTTTGCCAGAAATCATCAACTTCACAGGTTCCGAACAGTCTGAACATGACTCAATATTAGTAATACTTTACCAAAAATGGTTGAAATACTGTGAATTAATGCATGATTTCAAATCCATCTTTTTTCCAAGTCATCTTCCCTTTGCATGGCTGGTGTACATGCAGGAGTGGTATCCAATGTTTTTGGAGGTCAAATTAATGTTGTAATCAGCAAAGGTATTCCATACTATGAAAGCTCTCTGGCTAACAATGTTACATCAAAAGTGTAAGTATATATTTTCTTAAAAGTCATCGCATTTCAGTATTGTTAGAATTTGACATGCATATAAATTTAAACTCTGAAACATTAAACCCAGAGTAATATTTTAAATATTTTTACAAATTATTGTAAAGAACAGACTAGTTATCAAATAAAAGATTGTATCAGAATATGTTTTTTATGATAGCATATGACTAGTTGTCTAAAAGTTGATGACTAATAAATATTTTTAACTTTTAAACAATGAATTATGAAGCATCTTAGCATCCTTTTGTAAGGAGGATTGTATTTTTAAGAAATAGAAATAAAATATGGAAGAACTTCAGTATATTTCAGGGACTGAAGGGTCTATTAGAAATATTTTGAATCATGGATTGCAAGGAATTTGCATCTTTGTTTTAGTTTTCCTGGTGTTATTAAATGTTGCCAGTATCTTGACTTCAAGGAATTACACAAGTAAAATATTTTTTCACTGAGAAAAAATGCTGAACTTCAATGGGAAGTGGACTAATCTGATTATCCATATTTTTTAAAAATGTCACACTTATCTAGAAGTCTGCTTTTCCTTGTATTATTTTGAATATGAAGATTTTTAGTGTGAGTCTTATTTCAAAAAAAGTTCAATAATCTGCTAAACAGTAATGCAAAATGATACATTGCAAAAATGGTGCATCTTTGAGGAATATTTTAGTAAATATATAGACAGAAATTAAGGAAAAATTTTAAATATATTGATAGTAAAATATAGATATGTTATTTGTTTTTACACAGAGGTCCTCTGTCTTCAGGTCTCTTCACTTTTAAAACCAGTGGTAAGCCTTCATGCCTCTTGGTGTTTAATGATATCTAGACTTTATTCAGCCCTATATTTCTCCTTCATTTTGATTTTTCCCCCTAAGCTTTTTATTGTCATTTCAAACTGGGGCAAAAAGTTATTATAGGAATTACTGTTTGCCTAAACACATAGCCTTATGATTACATGAAATGGTAAACTTTTTTTTTCTAATATTTGTTATGAAGAAGAATGGCATAGAATCCATCTTCTTTTTAATTAATTAATTATAAAATGTGCAACCCAATAGGTACAACATTTTCTATGAATTTAATCTACTGATTGCTCTTTTTATTTCTCTCTGTGTTTAGGTTGCTATGGGACACTTGGAATGGAATCTGGAGTAATTGCTGATTCACAAATTAATGCATCCTCGTTTTTAGAATGGCCTGAGCAGCTGGGTCAACCAAGCACTTGGAAGCCAGAAAGAGCCAGGTTGAAAAGGCCTGGACACTCTTGGGCAGCTTTTACTAATGATGAGTATCAGTGGTTGCAAATTGATTTAAACAAAGAGCAGCGAATAACAGGTAAGTAAATATGAAATATTTATTTAATGAAGAAAATAAATATATAGTGTTATTATTAAAATGGAATTTAATTTGAGAGAAAGTAAGAGAATGTTAGATGCAGTATTTATAAGATTTAACATAGCCAACTATATCACCAAATCAAATCAAATGTCGTCATTTAGGTCTTGGACTGGCCTTGACAATAGGAAAAGAGAAATATTTTGGTACAGCAGTTCATTATCATGAATTAAAGTTTTGCATAACTGTATGATTTGAGGAAAATATTTGGCCACCTGGAATGCGAATGTAGAATTAGCATCCCTTAAAAAATAGTAAACATAAAATTTATCAGCATAGGCTGATAGCCAAGAGTTTCTATCTCCATGGATCCTAAACAGGTTAAATTGAATCTCATATAATATTTGGGTAACTGTTTTAGCCATAAACAGCTGGAATGTAATTTGAAGCCAGTTTAGGCTCATGGACAATAACTCTCTGAAAGTTTTTTATCAGAGAGTTAATATATATGTTAAAAAGCAATTGTGCTAAAATGCATCTTTGTTTCACCTCTCCTCACCTTTTCTTTTTAAAGTCAAAAAGGTTCCATACACAGATGCATCTTATTCTGAGGTTTGCATTATCATATGATTTATGAATTAGGAGCAAGTATTTTTGTCTACTGTATAGAAGATATGATTAGAATGTTCTAGAGTCAGTCAGTGTCTGTCTCTCTGTCTATCATTCATCCATCCACCCATTCACACAGACATAGACATTTATATTTTATATTTGTTTATGATAAAGGGGACCTTCTGATTCACAGGTATCATTACAACTGGCAGCACCTTAGCGGAGTACCATTATTATGTCTCTGCTTATAGAATTCTCTATAGTAATGAAGGACAGAAGTGGACAATATATAGAGAACCTGGTGTTGAGAGAGATAAGGTGAGATTAAGATAATATATTACAGGAAATCATTGTGTGTTTTTAAAATAAGATTTAAGAGCCGTTTTTAGACATTTAATATGCAGATGTTATGTTGAAATATATGTATTGGAAAATTGGTAAATTCTGAAATTGAACATGTTTTATGTTTCATTTGAAGCATGGATCATACTAATCCACTCAGTCCTTGTGTCAAGGTACTCATATAGAAAAATAAAAAAGTATTTCATATTTCATGCACTTAATCTTGGATTGAGGGAATATTACCTACAGAAATCACACACTGTAAGCCTAAAGGCAGAACAGTAGGAGAGGAATGGCTGGATAGGGCTCAAGAAAAATTTTGGAATTGGATGATTCAATATTTAAGAATATTAGTTCAAGATATAGTAGTATTTAGGCTGCATGATATTCTTTTAAAAGAAGCAAAATGTCTGCAAAAAGCACACATGGAACACCTTATGAGGCAGCTACACAAACATGAAAAAAGATGCAGCTGGTTTAATGATAGAAAGGCAGGCTCTGTGTATATTCTTAAGGGGATATGAATCATCTCTTTTGAAGAATTTATGCAGGGCTACTGGGTTTCTTCATCTTAGCCTTATTCTTGTTTTGTAAAATGCTTTAGGGGAAAGAGTTGAGAAAATCAGTTTTGGAGGTGCAACCTATCTTTCCTTCCACATTATTTTAGTGGCAAAGGCAGCTAACATGGATTTTGCACATGAACATCCTTATTCCAGAAAACTTTTGCAGTGAGTCACCATTTGGCCATAACTTTCATATCTCCACAGACCAATTGTCTGTTAACAAGAGTTGCCTGTTGCTTGATTTCAGTTCCCAATGTCTGTAATGTTGGCCATGCTAACAAAAATAATAAAGAGTTGTAGATCTATATCTGAGAAACCAAACATTACCTAAACGTGTGTTACGAAAATGAGAGATGTTAATAAGTTTTGTTGGAAATCTTAATTTCTGATTTGGTGATATTTCATGGAGTACTGAATGCTAAATAAGATCAGAAAAAAATCAGAATAAACATTAAATCTAACTTTTGACTGCCCTCTTCTGGGCTTGGTAGCTTAAAAAAGAAGAGGAAGAAGGGGATATATTTAAACTTTGCTACGTTAAACTTGACAATAGTAAGTGATCATTATAACTTTCACAGTAATATTGTTTAAATGTTTTTGTCTGAGGTTATCTAGGAATTTCTAAAATAGTATGAGTTAGTGAAGACTAGTAAAAGGGGAAATCTGAGCTGAGCTTGATTCTTGATGACTTCATGGACATTTCCAACAGTGTTTTTGGCTACAAAATGGAAGTGGTTTGCCATTACCTTATCCCAGGACTTTTTAAAATTTGCAGTTCAGAGCATTTCTAGACCTTCAAGGATTAATCAGGGCTGAGTCAAAAAAGGTCACCCAAATAATGGTACCTATTATGGGTAGCTGATGTAATGCAACAATATTAAGTGTGGCATTAATCTTTCTGTACATTTGGAGACAGAATCCTATGAGCTTAACAACAGAACATTCAAGAACAGGGCTCAGATAATTTGCTTACTGGAGCTGTGAAAGCTGCTGTTAAACCATGAAGATCAACTATGATCAAATCTAGCCATATTTACGTGTCAGCTTGAGGTTTAAATCCTGTATCTCTTTTTCTGATAATCAACTTTTTGTTGTCTTTTTCTCAGCCTTGAATCTTGAGAACATCTGCACAGTGTTTGTATAATAGTCCTGTCTAGTCTCAGGTTTTTTTTTTATATCTGTTCTTGCAAGCTTTAGCCTGCATAATATAACACTTTAAACATTACTGGTTTTTAATGATTGCTTCATTGAATTTGCATTAATGAATATTTCATCAGTGCTTTGAGAACTGAATGCCTGCCATAAAATGATTTGAGAACAAAAGAGATAATCATATTTTTTTAAATTTGAAAACGAAATGCTTTGAAAAAGAAAATGAAATTTGCATCGCAAATCTTGTATTACACATTATATGATCTAATTTTTTTCTAGGTATTTCAAGGCAATGCAGGCTATTATCAGGAAGTTCGCAATAATTTCATTCCACCCATTATTGCTCGCTTTGTTAGAATAAACCCTTTGAAATGGCACCAAAAAATTGCAATGAAAGTAGAATTGATGGGATGTCAGTTTAATGTTGGTAAGTGAAGTGGCATTTGATATATTCTTTATAAAATGTAGTTTTCTAATGGAGGAGGAGGGTATCCTATGTGCATGGTTACTGTTCTTTATTCAGTAAGTAGGATCATGATTTTAACCCTCACAAACACCACCGTTCTGATCCATGCTGCCTAGTTGCAGAGTCTTTGCTTGAGCAGTTCTACTTATTTTTGTCAGAGAATTTGTGATAAAAAGTAGCTAGCCTAGATAAAAAGTAGCTAGCCCAGCCCTTGACATACTGAAGATTTTTTTTTTCTGACTTGCTTCAAATATCCAGCCCTGAGCTAAGGACTGTGAATTGCTTGTTGAGATTAGTCAACAAGCCTTAGTTTTCCTCAAGAAGACATCTTGCTTCTGTATTGCTAGACTCCCTATACTGGCATTTTTTGTCAAGCATCTAATCTCCCCTTTTTGGGGAAGATGGTTAAGAAGGTGGCTCTACAGCAGCTTCAGGGGACCTTGGATGAAGTGGATTATGTGGATACCTTTCAGTTGGGATTCAGATGCGGATATAGAACAAAAACAACTTTGGTCATGCTTTTGGATGTTGGCAAAGGAAGGATGAGGGGTTATGTGCTGCCCAGAGTCACATTTTGTGAGATGAGCAGCCATTTAAACTTTATAAATCAATGAGTCGATATTTGAGGAACCAGTTAGGGCAGAGCCTAGTCAGGATAAGTAACTATTCCTCCATCTGTGTGTTTATTCATCTGGAGTTCTGCAACTGAATCTGGAAGACAATCCTGGATGGGTCTCCTCTCCTCTCTCAACCTCTGTGATTCCTCTGATTCAGAGACCCCTCTCCTTTTTTCTATGTCAGAGAGGGTATCTCAATTTCAATTACTGATAGGAAATGGCTTAAATGTTAGGAGTTTGATTTCTTGTCTCCTTTTTGCTGGAGTATTCTACTTATCTACTAAAACTGGGTGAAAGCTGCTTGTTTCCCATTGAGCATTAAAATACTGAGGAGCTGTTACGGTAAGTCCAGTGTTCTATTATGGAACAACCAATGTGCTCAAATATTTGTTTCATTTTCATTGAGTGACTGACTGGTCCTGGACATTCATATCATACAATATTAGGAGAGTAATGAGATTTATTCACATTTAGTTGCTGGCACTCTTAACAGATATTTTGAGAAAAAGTAAAAAAACAAAATTACTTGTTACATTTTAAATTAATGACATCATCTCAAGATTTTGCTTTCATTTAAGTTCGGGCTCCAAGACCATCATTACCTCCACCACGCAGGAGCAACAATGACTTTTCTTTGCAGATTGATAAAACAACCATCACCCCTGAGATTAAGAACACTATGTTTACTCCAAGTGTAACCAAAGGTACTGATATCTAAAAAAATAGCATTGCAGAACTATAAAGCCTAGCATTAATAGTGCCTTTTTGTGTTTCACTTTATTTTTAACTCAGTAATTCATTCACTAGAAATGATTAAGCAATATATACATGCGTAGCTAACAGAACATGGAGATTTTGCATACAAAATTGCTAAATTAGAAGTTGACTATTTTGTATACTGAAAAGTTTTAGCAGTCATAATATTTTCATGGCAGTCTAAGAAAGTATCTCCAAATACTATGGCTATTAGATTCATTTTTCCTGAATATTTTTATAAGTAAAATGGGATTTTTTTAAAAGCCAAAAAATTTATTTAAGATTTTGCTTTTGCTTTAAGTTCGGTCTCCAAGAACATCATTGCCTCCTCCACCCTGGAGCAACAAAGATTTTCCATTGCAGACCAGTAAAACAACCTTTGCTCCTAAGATCAAGAATACTACAGTAACACCAAATGTTACTACAGGTACTGATACCTAAAAGATAGCACAGTAACATAATGCATAGCATTAATAATGTATATTTTGGTACCCTTCAGTATTTGCCTAGATAAAAGGGAATGTATCAAGTTTGTTTTTTTATGAATCTAACATATTCTATATCTTAATTTTTTCAGATGTAGCATTGATAGCTGTTTTAGTACCTGTGTTGGTCATGGTTTTTACCACCCTCATCTTGATCTTAGTTTGCTCCTGGCATTGGAGAAACAGGTAACCAGCTTATATAAGTGCTTCTAAAGAAGGACTGCACAAACTTGGTGTGGCATAAGTGTCATTGCAGCTTTGTACAGCATGCACAACATATTCAAAAATTATAGTGGAACAACACCACTTTGGGAGGTTTGATTAAACATAAACTATAAGCTTCTACAATGCCAACAAAAATGGAGTGGGTGCAGTGACGCTAAGGTTTATGTTCACCTACTCTGGTAGAGGTTATGGTGCTTGTTATTGAATGCTGGTGAACCAGATCAGGAAAGTTGCACTTTCTGTATTCTTGTTCTAAACCACACATCTCTAAATAGTCCTCATGATATATTGTGGCTGCAGGTTTAAGAATTCTTAGGTACAGTTGTGTGATTAATATATCTGGAGAGCTGCAGGTTCACAACACTGTACTAAGAATGCACAGTGACTATATAAAGATGAAATGGGAGAAATTCAAGATTCATTAAAACCCATGAATTTCAAATAATCCTCTTCAAATAATAAAAATCCTTTTGTTGCAGTATTTTTTTTCTTAAATAACTTCAGCTGAGAATAACTGCTAGAAATAGTTAGATTAGGCATGGAGGCACCTAGGCGTATGTCTGCTTTAACCATGGAGTTCAGGCTTATTGTGGTGATAAATTGCTATGTGTATTGCCTTCATCTCCTGTGGGAAAGGATGAAAATTTATGGACGGCATGAATGAATGGTAAATGATTACAGACGATTGTATTTAAACAATACATTTAGAGGTTGAATGGCATACTTCAATAAATAATATTGCTGCTATTTATGTTAATAGTATAGTACACAAAAAAGCAATCTTCTTCATGTTGTATTACAGCCAAATATTTTCAAACAGTGATACTCTTAACTATATCCTAAATAAGTCTTAAGTTAATACTAATTATGGATGTTTTCTTCATTTGGCATAATTTTCAGAAAAAGAAAGTCAGAAGGAACATATGATATACCTTATTGGGATCGTGCAGGTAAATTTAGATGCAAACTTTGTAGTAACGTTTTGAGGTTCAAATATACGTTTCTAATTTATTTCAGTTAATATTTAGAATTGGACAGGCACTTGACTACTTCACAAAGCATCTCAAATGGCATCATTGATTGTCATCTCTTCCCCTCCCCCCAACACTGATTTTCTTGTGGAGCAGATAGAATAGTGGAACAAGGCAGGTACTTCTGTGTAGCCCAGGGATCATGGGGTCCCAAGCATTTCTTGATATAAATTACAGATTAAAATATAGATTGAAATAAAGATAATAGGAAAATGGCTGAGGGACAGAAATGGGGAGGGAGGTGTTGGTATAGGAAGAAAAAAAGAAAAAGCATTGGCTAACCTTTTTCAAAGCAATAAAGTACAGAATAGAATTACTCAACTTTTTATTTACCAGCTTAGCAAGTTAGCAGTACTAGCTATTTCTGTAACAACAAACTATGTTCATCAGGGAAACCCACAGTCACAAGTTCATTTTTTTGTGTCTCAAGCACAAGATTCAGAAGCTGTTTCCAAATATAAACAAAGTTGGATATGTTCTTTAATTAAAACAGAATTTTGCACTTCTTCCAGCTCCATCACTTTCTCCATCCATTCTTCTGTTGGCTGGGGAATTCTGGAAGTTGGAAGTCCCCAAGTCTTAAAAGTTGCCAAGGTTGGACACCCCTGGCTTAAACTATAGCAACTACCTCCCAGGGTTGTTATTGTGAGGAAGATAGGAGGAAGAAGGAGTATTAGGTATGCTCGCTGCTTTAAGTTACTTATAAAATAATAAAGATGGGATAAAAATCAAATAAATAAATAGCTGCCTTAATAAAGAAGGGAAAGAAAAAAACTGAGCATAGAATCCCAGTGATAACTGCTGCTAATTTTGGTAGGATTAAAATATGATTTCATAATATGTACCGAAGCCTACTATTACAAAATTACAAAGAAAGCTCCTTATTATATTTTTAAAAACTTATGATGGAATTTTGAATAGCTTGATTCATACATGTATCTTATAAGTCATAGGTGAGAACTGTTCCTTTTTAATATTTTATTGCAGGTTGGTGGAAAGGAATGAAGCAGTTCTTTCCTTCTAAATCTGTAGACAATGAAGAATCATCTGTTCATTATAACAGCAGTGAAATTAATTGCCTTAGATCAAAAGAAGTTACTACTGTGTTACAAAGTCAATCAGCAGGTATATTTTCCCAAGTTTACAGTTATTTCAGCGAACGGTGTATATTTCAAAAGAAAGATGGTATATGCATTGAAATTAAATGGATTAGCAAAGATGCTATAGTTTTCCCACAGAATTATTTCAGGTTTGTAAAAGAAAATACTACATTTAGAGCATGTCTACTTGAAATTACAGCCATATCATGGCTTTCATCTTGGAGAAAGCTTGAAAAACCATCCAATTTATTAGCATGGAGGCAAAATAGGTGGCCAATAAATCTAATAAATAAATATTTCTTTTCATAAAGTTTCAACAGGCAGTAATCATTTAAATCTGCCAAAAATCTTTTAAATGACAAATAAAATATATGGTATATTTGTGTACTTTTTAACAGAATTTTTGTTTGCTAACTGCTTCAATAAGCAAACTTTAAAGTGTTGAAGTATAGTTAGCCCTTAACTTATGACTAATTGAGCCCAGAATTAAGGTTTTGTGCCAGTTGTTCAGTGGGTCATCTTGTGACCTCACCTGATTTTACTCTTTTTTTTGCAACTGTCAAATGTGACAGTTGTTAAGCAAATGTCATGGTTGTTAAGCAAATCCATTGTCCAGAATGGGTGTTTTTTTTTTTTTACCAGAAATCAGAAGTAAATGCCAGTTTCCAGCAAAAAAGTAATAAATCATGGATGCATGACCACAGAAAGCTGCACTGGCCATAAATGTAGGCCAGTTGCTCAGTACCTAAAATGCGATCACGTGACCATGAGTTGGGCTAGCTATTATAACTTCAAATCCGGGTCATAAGTATCCCTGACGAAGTCCATTGGAACTCTGAGTAGTTGCTAAGCATGTAGATAAAAGTATCAGTCTGTGGTGGTGGGTTTATAAAAGAAAATACTGTATGATCACTACAGGTATTATTGAGGTTATTAACGTTCTATTAAAAATGCCACCATTTCTGATTCCTTTCAAAGATGAAGGATGACATACAGATAATTATGGCACAGGCACAAAATCAATGTCATCCCCATCTACAACTGAGATTATCTTTTTAGGTGTGCCTTGTGATTAGGCTTATCATCTTATGCTGCAGTGGTTTATCAACTTATGCTGCAGTCCTGTAGTGGCTTTTTTCTGGGTATTGAGAGGTTTAGAAATTCACTTTTGGCTTTCTTCAACAGAGTATGCACAACCACTTGTGGGAGGAATTGTTGGCACACTTCATCAGAAGTCAACTTTTAAACATGAAGGAAAAGAAGCATGTTATGTTGACACAGATTCTTGTAACACCTCAGAACAAGAAATATATCATGCATATGCTGAACCGCTCCCAGTTACTGGACCAGAATATGCAATACCAATAGTGATGGATATGTCAGGGCATCCTGCAGCTCCTCCAGGCATTGCTTCTGTATCTACCTTCAAAGCTTCAGGGAATCAAGCTCCTCCATTAGTGGGAACTTATAATAAACTTCTTTCTAGGGCAGATAGTCCATTATCACCCACACATATGCTGTACGATACACCTAAAGGAATGCCAGGACTGAGCCTTCCAAATGAATTGCTATACCAAGTACCACAGAATATGCCACACTCCACAGAAAATAAAGAAGATATAAGTTAGAGTTAGGCAGTAGTGCCTAATTAGTGTGAATACATAAGTCATTTAGACTCATCAATAATCATTCTATACTCTATAGGATGTTGGGCCAAAGAAAGATAGAAACACTAACAGTCTGATAATTAACAATTGATAAGGATATTCATAGCACTGTGAAAGTAAACTAAACATGAAACTGTCATTTTTAGTAAGTATTACACAAAACTGAAATTGATCTCTGCAATGAATAAACAATTTCTATAAATTGGTAAACAAGAGGTCCAGAAAAACTATACAGTGTTAATCATTCTTTTCTGGTTATTGGAAAGAGTAACTTCATTTAAATACTACTCTTTTGTTCATGTTAAATACTGTATAGTATTTTTCATTTACTGGATGTAGATTCCCTAAAGATGGAATTCACACTAGAACTTTCTATATATTCTTTTTCAAAGACAATAGTTCTCTTGCTTGCCTAGTAAATGATGGATTTCAGATTTGGTCCATTTACATATTCACTAGGTAGCCTCAGGTTTCCCATGTGCAGCATGGGTATAAGAATGAATCTACTTGCAGGGCTATTTTAACAAGGTGTGTTAGTGATTTAAGACACCCGAAGTGTAATATAAATATTGTTATATTAACATTAGACTACAGAAAGCTTTACTGAGGATTTATTAGCTGCAGATGTAATCTTTTCAGCTAAGAATATAGTTTATAAAAAATAACCACCTACCCACCCTATTGAGGCTTTCTCCCACAATAATAAACTGTAGACCTTAAAAGTGATTTTTTTTTTATTTTGAAAGGTATAAGCACATCAACATATTGTGTGTACATTTGCAAAGACAGATCAGGATTTTTGTACATTTATAAATGTACAGCTTTTTACAAATGTTTTAAAATACTTTTATACCTTAAGAAAAATACCCTGGTAGCTTTTAAATTGTGAATTCTGTTGTCAATTAGATTAAAATGTGGCAACAAAATTAAAAACAAATTGCTGCTTGATGTGGACTGAGATTTAAATTATTGTTAATGAGCTGATCATTTTGAAAGTTCAAAGTTATATGTTTAGCTTAGAATTAAAGGTACTTAATTTTGTAGTAATTCACTTTCTCAAAATGTATATATTTGGATTAAATGATCTTATGCACAATGAAAAGTATTGAACACAAAGCTGTATTACATTGCAATTTCATTTCCCTTTTTACCATGTTTAACTTTGTATCAAGAAAGTACATGAAAAAATACCGTTTTATATTGCATTTATCAGCACTGTAGTGATGACAAAATGGAATATCCTTTAATATGCAATAGCCCAGTTTTATGGACTTTTAAATGTGTTGTGAATGTGTAAGTCAAAAGACCATTGTATATAATGTTGCTAAATACACAATATCGTAAGTTAGCTCACTGGTAAATTTAATCCTGACAATCACAACTGTAATATAAAATGATGTTTAATTTCAATTCCACAGAAATTTGCTCTTGTGCCTTGCTCCATTCCTCATGTTTTTATTTATAAAAATTATATGTAACTTATTTTTATTCTGTAACTATGGTACTCTAAGGGCTGAATGTGTGAGAACAAGCGATGTATAGATTTGATACTTCCACATATTCTTTGTATTCATTCTTTTATGTGATTCTTTCCAACTCATGTGAGTAAAATACCTGCCAGAATGGAGTGAAGAAATTTGTGTTAATATAGAACATACAATAACAGGGTTGGAAGGTACTTTGGAGATTTTCTACTCCAACCCTCTGCTCTATGAAAAAATGTTATGAAATGTTATGAAAAAATGGTTGTCCATCTTCTTGAAAAGTGATGGAACACCCAAACTTCTGCAGGCAAGCCATTCAACTGATTAATTGTTCTGTCAGGAAATTTCTTCTTAATCCTACGTTGTGTCACTCTTTATTGATCTTCTGTCTGTTACTTCTTGTCTTATAAGCTTCGTTCTGCTGCTGTTAATAGACTTATTTGCTGTTTTATACTAAATCATAGTTCATGCTATGCTATGGGTATAGCATGTGGTTATAACAGAGACAGTTCCCGATAGCATATAAATATATAATTAATAGTTCCTGTTTGTTTTCAAAACACATTTCTAGAAGGAAAACAAAGGGAAGTAACTCAAAGACTGAAGTGATAATGACTGTTTTGCATTTATCAGTTATAACTTTCATTTCTACTCTTAGTTTATGATTGGAATTGGAAACTAAGTTCTTCAAATTGAATTGTGTAGGTGCATTTAATGATGTAGATCAAGTTGGATGCTTTACTATTTCATTCTGATTACACTTTCTGTATATATTTATTAACACTATTGATAGATTAACATTTAAACACTATATATCGTGTTTAGTTATACCACCTAAAATGTCAGCATCAAGTTATAACATAAAATGAGAAAAACCACTTCCCAGTGCCTAATGAAATAAAATAACCTAGACTTGATAGATGGTGCTGAGTCTTCTGAAACTGTTGTCCATTAGAATTCTAGTTATTTTTTTTAAAGAATTTTTAATCTAAGCCAGTTAAAATGGCTATATGTATATATAATGCAAAAGCCTACAATTTTGCACATGTGCTATTTCTCATAAATGACTGCAAAATATCACAAATGCCACTGTAAGGATGCTTTTCAATTTCTTACAAGAATTATACATACATATATGTAAAGAGTCTAACTGGAAATATGACATATTCAAGATTAGCTTTAGTTTATTTAAATGTACATTCAAGGGGATCTTCCCTTTTATGTTTATAAAAGGTTTTCACATCAAATATTACAGCATTATATAAGGAGATACATGAGAAATGGAAATGTATAAATACAGTATATATGTCAGATGAAACAGATTTATTAAATTAAAGCACAACTTTTTAGGTGCTAATTTCTACATATTAGCTCAAGCAATCTTATTTCAAAATTCTTACATTTTTGTTTTTTGTTTGCTCTAAGTTAATACTGTTTCTCTTAAATGAATTCTAAATGTGCAGAGTGCTTGTTCCTATAGTTCAAGGAAGAACAAATGCATATAATCATGGAGGATTATTTTCTTAGAATGTACTTTCTTACCTCAGTGTGTTCTTACCTCAGCATACTGTGGTCACTCTGTTTTTGTATATGATACTATTATTAGGTAATATCTATAACAATTTTAAATGTAACTTAAAAACTTTTAAAATAAAATGCACAATGAAAATGTTCTCTAAAAAAATCTATAGCAATGGTTCTCAACCTTTCTAATGCCGCGACCCCATAATATAGTTCCCCATGTTGTGGTGACCCCCAAACACTTATACATCACCGGGTGCCAGGGGCGTGGCCAAAGAAAAGGAAAAATTGTTGGACAGCCTTGTTTGGCGACCCCCGTGAAATGGTCGTTCGACCCCAAATGGGGTCCCGACCCACAGGTTGAGAACCACTGATCTATAGCGTAAAGCAGGAAAAAATATTTTTTTAAAAAAACTGAATTCCTTTTTTAAGCTAGCTGATACTGGATAGCTCAACAAAACCAACACTTTTGGTTCTGTATCAAGTGTTTTCTGATTGCTAGGTCAGAAGACACAAATATACATACATATTCTTCCCTGTGCAAAGGAGCGTGAAAATAAATTCTTTGCTCTAAAGGTTGCATAGTGACTGAATTTTGAGGGAAACTGGATTGCAACATCGTGAAGGTGACAGCAGATTTAGGATATTTTCCATATCTGATCCCCATGTTTCTCTAGCATAGCATCTTTTCAAAGCAAGCCATTTTTTATTGTGTTACAGATAGAAGCTAAGATAGTTCACCTTATATCTGACATATGATTTTGGATCATGTTTTCTAATGATTTCAATTCATTTCTCTTAGGTACAGAATTTTAAAACAACTTAGGCCTTCCAGGGTAGCACTTTATTAAAAAAATCCCAGTGTAGATCTTCACACAAAATATTGTTTTATTACAAAAGAATGGTGGATGACAAAAGGATCTACCACACGTATTCAGCTTTGGGCACTTTTAAAGGCAGCTCAATACAGCAGAGATAATAGAATGAGCTACAGGAGTAATCATTTTTCAAAAGAGTCCCAACTTCACAGAACCATTTCTGCATACCTTGATTAATTCCATTTCTAGAAGTTCAATTGTTTCTTTTTTTATCTGAAAAAAATATTTACCATTACAATTAATGCGGACTTTTTTTTCAAATGCAAGCATACACAGCTGAAACCTTGCAGTTCTCCCATTTTAATATTTGCACAATATCCCCTATAAATATTTAGATATGAAGTACTAAGCATAAATTATTATGCATAATAGGACAAACTTGCAGCTAATCATTTACTAATTAACTATTCTAAACCAGTAGCTTAACTACTCCATTATTTAAATTTCTCTGTAAAAATTCTTGAATTTGTTTGCAAAGAAAATTTAACATACTTATTTGAATGATTATTTTTCTAGTTTTGGGTGAATACCAATTACTATCATTAAAGAAGTTAAACCAATTTATAGTGGGTTACTTTGCTACTCATTAAAAAAAATTGGTGACAAAGTGTGTCACCCTAGTCAGCTAAATGCTCTATCTGTGTGAAGTTGTTAGGTTTTGTCCCAGTGACAGGAGACTGAGTCTGGATGGGGAAAGATGGGTAAGTGAGGGTCTAGATGGGGAAAATGCTTTGAGAGTGATGTGAAGTGCTACCACTGAAGAGGCAAGTCTGTGATCTGAGTGGCCTCTTGGATTTCTGGCTCCTAACAAAACAGAAAAGCAAGGAGACCAGCATAGCTAATATGCCATTTGCAGCCTACTTTTATGCAAGGACTACAACACATACCCTCATCACATTACTTGCTTAGATTACTGTGATATGTGCCACAGATGGCTGCCTTTAAAGACTACTTAAAAGCTTCACTTGGTCTAATATGCAGCAGTTCAGGTATCTACTGGTGCTCACTAATGGAAGCCCATTATTTTTGTGCTATGGGCCCTGCATTGACTTTCTGTAAGAGTCTGTGTACAATTTAAAGTACTGGTTTTACCCTATAGAATGCTCTTTTTAGGTTAGCATCAGTTTACTTTCAAAATTAGCCCAACCAATTTGAGGAATCTCAAATTTGTGGGAGGGCAGAGCTCAGAAATACTGCTTTTCTGAAGAATTCCAATCTCCTGAAATAGCCTCCCATTAAAGTTTCAACCTTGATGGAGGCTGTTCCACTTGGCATTTGAGGAATGACATCTGGTTTGGGATTTTTTTTTTTAGATTGTTAGGATTTTATTTTATTTTACTATGTATGGTAATAAGTAGTAAAAGTAGTAGTAAAAATACTACTTTTATTTTACTATGGATGGTTCAATGATTTCCATATTCCATAAAGCTGATGAGAGTCCTGCAGTAAGGAATAAAGGTAATAAAAATGTAACCTTTAAAAATGGAAAACATCCAGAAAAAAGAAAAGATACAGTTATTGCTATAGGGGCATATCTCTGTAGATGCCAGAATATTTTTCATAGATGTTTTATTAACTGCAGTAGCTAATATGTTAATTTCATATTTGTAAAAAGACCACAAGGGGGCACATTCTTTCTTTAGTTTTTGACATTTTTGTAGACCATGCTAGATAATTTTACCATTATTATAGGAAAAGAGTATTATATATGTTTGTATATAAATGAGGCATTTTTCACTTTATTCTTTATAATACTATCCTTTTAAAAATAATTAAAATTTATGAAATTGTATTAATTAACTAAAAGAATAATAACGTAACTTATTTAGTTATCCTTCATGGAAAGTTTATATTCAGATATCTTGCTGTATCATCGACATCTATTTCATCAGTACAAGATTAGTTAGTGTAAGTTTTAAACATTTTTTTAAAAGCACTCTCTTTAGATGGAGGTTAGGATTTGAAAGCAGGATCAAAAATCCTTATCAGCAAATCAGCAAAGATTTGCTAAATGATTTTTAGATCTGTTTTATGATCAGCTATGATCTACAGTCCTGTACAATTTGAGAATAAGGAACTAAAGTATCACTATTCTTGATGAGTTTAGATCAAACTGTTCTGAAATAGACTTTCCCTCAAAATCTGGCCCCTTTTAATATCCTGGAGATCTGTACACACATAATTTTTTTTGTAAAGCAATTGGGGCTTGAGATCCTTATGTGCATTACTAACTTGGATTTTGATTTTAATATTTTTTCTAATTTTAACTTACTTAGATTTAATTTAAATTCTGGATATTAATTCAAGATAAAATATAAAACTTGCTATCTGTCAGGAATTGTGATAAGTGGGTTTGGTGCAAATTTTGTAAGACTATTGTTGGTCAATGAACAACTGGTTACATCTTTTGTTAATTAGATTAGAAATGATAAATACAGGTTTGTATTTGTATTATATGTGAAATGAGCTATAGTCTTGTAATCTGTAAATTGTAAACAATGCAACTTTTCAATTTCAAATGTATAAATTTTTACTTCCTTTCTCTTAAAAGTCTAGTGAATGAACTATAAAATGTCACCATAAGCACCCAACCAGCAACATGCACGGACACAAAAGTTCGTACCTCTGGGATGTCAATTAATCTTCTTAACTTCTGATCCCTATAGTTCCAGTCTAAGATAAAATACTTCAAGGAAGTCAGCTTAAGGCCTTCTGAGGAGAAAAGACAAGATGGCTATTGATAACAGAACATCTGCATGTCTGGGTGGTCTTCCATATGAGCATGAAGCAAATGCACTCACAAAAAGGACAGGGTTTGTGTCATGACACACTGCTCTAATGAATTCACTTAACACCTTCTGTGCAGTTGCTCCCATCTCAGTTTTATTTCAGTAATTCTTAAATTTTTAAAATTCTTCCTGTGGTTGGAATAATTGAAAAATAAGTATATTTCATTTTTACATAACTAGAAGTTATACTGTAAATTTCTACCTTGTTGTATTAGTGCTTTTATCCTTCCAGGTGTCCCAACACCTACATGAACAACATCTTTTTCCAGCATTTTCATTTGTTCTTGTATCTATTTCAAGAAAGCAGAAAGGGGAGAATATAGATCAAGAGACAAGAACATTATACATTATTTCTCTAAAAGATTCAAAAGTGTACTATATGACTTAACTTTAGATGGAAATTCAACTTTGTTACATGGAAAACAACACAGCAAAGCTCAAAATCTGTAATTGAGCCAGAGGTACTTTATGGCAGGGCCCAATGGCTTGTCAACATATTTGTTTTCATGTAATTTCTGATTTTTCATGTCTGAACACAAATTTTTTCTTGGTTCCCCTGCTCCAACAATCTAATAATATGGAGTATACATGTTACCTTTTTTCCAATTTATTCTTCCTTGGCAAATGAAATGTTACATGTTTCTTTAGAGTTTAGATGCTCTATGCCAGTCATCAAACTATTATGATCATTCATGCACTCCTTAAAAGAGAGGGGGGGAGGGAGGGAGGGAGGGAGGGAGGGAAGGAAGGAAGGAAGGAAGGAAGGAAGGAAGGAAGGAAGGAAGGAAAGAAAACTATATAAACATACTTGCACAGAATACACTTTATTTATATTTAGATAAAATTATAGTACTTCCCTTTGACTATATTTACCTTCAAATGTTTTGCAAATAATTTCATAACCTTTCCATCTCCTTTGAAAGCTGCCATTGATCTAATGAAGAACAAAAGAAAACTGAAAACATGAAAAGGACAGAATTTTTGCACTGAAATTAGGACTCCAATTTTATCCAAAAGTAAATGAAAACAGGAACATATATTTAATTCCATTTTGTAATTTGAAAGCCATACTTATGGTATTTTTTTTCTTTTCTCAGCCAAGGGGAAGAAGGAATATTTTTTGTTCTGGATGCGGAAGGTTCACGTTCAGATGCTGAAGACCCATGCAAGAGGGATCTAAGGCAATGCTTCTTGCAGCCTGCTTCTTTCAAGCTTTTGACAAAGCCTACTGATAGCTAATGTCACTCAACTTGGTTAGGATGCAGTTGACTAGGGGCATTTATTGTTCCTTCCCCTGAATTAATGCTTCGCATATATGAACCACTTTTTATTTTTTTTAAAAAGGCATGTTTCCCAAGTATTGCAAGACCAGGATTTAAAGAATGACCTGACCCTGTTACCATTAGTGGTTGTGAAAACTTGGAAAGGACAGTACCCTAGTTGTCCCTTTAATTCTGTGGTTTTGGGAAAAACCTTAAAAAGGATTTCTTATGGTG